AAAAAAAAAAAAAAAAAGTTCACTTTCTCCTTTGATTCACAGGGCAAGTAGTAAGTTTCTATATGTCTATTTCTGAACTCTTAACCTTTATCCATCGATTTATTAGTCATACTGTGTTGATACCACATTGTCTTAATTACTATAGTTTTATAACTGATGTGGTTTTATATCTAATAAAGTACAGTAGTCATTAGTACTTTTGCTAAGTATCTCTGGTTCAATCCTCTCCCAAGGATTTTGATAGGATCATACTTCCGGGCCCACTTGGGATTCACTGGAGCCATATGATTTTATTTCTGGTCAGTGAGCTCTGAGCAGAAGTGACCTGTGGAACATTCAAATGTCCCCTCTGACTTGGCCACTAGTAATAGTCAACTTGGTTGTAGCTTTGGCACTTGAGTTCCTGAGTGACTACAATCAGTAGGGTTTTCCTACTAACCTGCAGTCGACAAGTAATGGGAATGCAAAATAAATATTTTGTATATTTATCACTGAGATTTTAACTTGTTACCAAAGCATAACTTAGTCTACTCTGACTGATACACAAGGCAAGTCTCTCATTTTGTTATTATTCTTCAAGAATGTCCTGTCTATCCTTCCCTATTTGTCATAAGAAGTTCAGAATTGAATTTACTCAACTTCCAGGACAAACCTGCTGGTCAAAATACACATTAGCATCACCACATTGGAAAACATATGGAAATATTGGAAAGCAGTTGGCAATATAAAAAAAAATTGTAAATATACATATCCTATGATCCAGTAATTCCATTCCTGGGCATATATGCAAAAAAAATGTGTATACATATATAGATATATACAAGAATGTTCTTGGCAATATTGTTCATAACAAATTAAAAACTGGAAATAATCCAAATGACTACCAGCAATAAAATAAACAAACTGGTTAATTTACACAATGAAATACCATATAATAAAGAAGATGAACAAAGTCAACCTACACATAACAATATGATCTTATAAACATATTGCTGCACTAAAGAAGACACACACACACACACACACAAAATGATTCCATTTACAGGACACCTGAGTGGCACAGTCAGTTAAGTGACTGACTCTTGGTTTCAGCTCAAGTCGTGATCTCAGAGTCATGAGATGGAGCCCTGAGTCGGGCTCTGTGTTCAGTGCAGAGTCTGCTTAAGACTCTCTCTCCCTTTGCCCCTCCCCTTTGTTCCTCCCCTCTGTGCTGTTGCACTCCCTCTATCTCTCTAAAATAAATAAGTAAATCTTTTAAAAACAGGTAATTTTTAAATTAGATTGTTTAAGAATGGATACATAGGTAGTAAAACTATCAGATAAAACAAAGCAGTGATTACCACAAATATTAGAAAAGTGGCTACTTCTGGGAGAAAGAAGGAGATGTGACTGAGAAAGAAGGGAGGGTGAATGTTTATGGTACTGGCAGTATTCTATTTTCACCTAAAGACTTGTTACAAGGATGTTCACTTTGTAATTATTCATTATACTGGATCTCTGTGGGGATTTTATATAAATGTCATATCTTTTTTGTTAGATTTATTCATGTCTATTTTATATACTTTGTTACTGTTACAAAAACTCTAACTTGCATTTTCTATTAGTTGCTAGTATATAGAAATACAATTGAATGTTATACCTTCATCTTACAGGCAACAACCTGCTAAATCCTCTTATTGATTCTACTGATGTATCAGTAGATACTTTGAGATTTTTTTTAATAGCCAATCAGATCATCTGCAAATAATAACTTTGCGTCTTTCTTTCTAATCTTTATCTGTCCTTTTGTCTTATTATACTGGACTAGAATCTAGCTCAATGATGAATCATATTATTTCATATTCTATAAAAATATTTTTAGGGGCACCTGGGTGGCTCAGTTGGTTAAGCATCCGACTCTTGATTTTGGCTCAGGTCATGATCTCAGGGTTGTGAGATCAAGCCTTGCGTCAGGCTTCCTGCTGGGCATGGGAGACTGCTTAAGATTCTCTCCCTCCCTCTCCCTCTGCCCCGCGCCCCACCTCTGCCCTCTCTCTCTAAAAAAAAAAAAAAAAAAAAATTAAAGTAGGGAACAAAAAAGAGGTATTCCAGGTGCTGATGGTCCATCCCAGATTTACTCTTCCAAACACTCAATATCCCTTCTCTTCTCTCAGAAAAAAAAGTCCTCCTGAATGAAGGAATATGGCCATTCTAACAATTTAAATTTCTCAACTATTAGAACGATGTTCAGCTCATCCATACAGTCAAATTAATCCATTTGCAATGTAAATCTATTTATAATTTTCAAATGAGGTAAACAATAATGAAAAGAATGCAAGCTAGAGCTTAATTATTTAATACTTATATAGCACTGAGGGACTGAAAAGCACTTTAGGGAAAAACATCAAATTTTTAATATACTCCCAATGTAACAAAAGAAGCAGTGAAGGAAAATAAACCTAATTGATAGCTCAATGATATAATAAGGAAAGTACTAGAACTTCTCAGAATTATGAAGATCCAAAATACAGCCTTTGATTCCCCAAGCCGATTTACCTATCTGCCATAAGCAACTGCTTCTCTGAAAGAGTCCCAAGGTACATCCTCAGCCCTCATAAGTTGAAAAACATCTTCCTTTCTGTACTTGGGTATCTCAGAAAGTGTCCCATGAAGTCTCGTGGTTGGTTTTCTTCATCTATTTGGTTTCTATAATGATACTAATTTATATCTCAATAATAATTTGTGCTTCTGGAAATTAAAACATAATAACGCTGCTACAGCCAGTTCATCAGAGTCCCACCTGGGTCAATGAAGAGGATGGCACAGTCCTGACTAATCAAAGCCATGTGAGGGGGTCACAGAAGTTCTGTCATCCCTTCCTGGTACAGATGAGAGTTTCTAGTTTCAGGAGATTCCTCTATCAGGGATTTCTCCAGGATTCAGTTTTCTCTAGCAAGTATCTTACTTCGGTTTTTTGTTTTAATGCCATGAACGAGACTTCCCTTGGATTTGTGGCCAGAGGACCACTATATTTCTTGTTTACCTAAAATTAGATACTTAATGTTAATCTCTCCTTCAGAAAATCAAGCCAAATACTCATGTGGATGGACTTCTGAGTGGGCATAGTCAGAAATGTTACAACTTGTAAAAGATTTGGTTTCATTAAAATTCATATTCAAACTCCCAATTAATCAATAACATGTATTTTGCTAAAAGTTTCAATGCTTCTAAGGGGGAAAGAAAAAAGATGTCTGTGACCTAAGCGATAAAATGTTCAGAAGACTCAGTCATCTCTTTCTAAAGATATCTGCCCATCACGGACTTAAAACTCTGAAGTGATGCTGCTCAAAAAACTGTTTCAAATCAGTTGTTGCAAATGCGCCAAAATAACTGGGAAATTCTCCTGGATTTTTTGTTACAGTTCTTAATCCAAGATGTAAAAACAATTAAATTAAACATATGATGACCATATCTAAGCATCCCTGTCACAAACCAAGAACTCAGACTTCTTGAGACTGAAAAATGACACCAGATGCTTATCAGAACTCATGCAGACTCATCCAGTCATAAATAATCTATTGTACATACAAACCAAGAAAACAGAGAAGCTCCATGTTGGACAAGCAGATAAGGAATGGAGAATGGGCCTTTTATACAACCTAGTTCTTCTTCCTCTATTGCAGCATACTCTAAATGAATCCTCAGATTTCATTTTATTCAGAAATGAAAAATTTAGAAGTCAGACAATGGGGTCAAGAATGGATATAATGGGGGCACCTGGGTGGCTCAGTTGTTGGGCGTCTGCCTTTGGCTCAGGTCGTGATCCCAGGGTCCCATGCTCCGCAGGATCAAGCCCCATCCCGGGCTCCCTGCTCCGCAGGAAGCCTGCTTCTCCCTCTCCCACTCCCCCTGCTTGTGTTCCTGCTCTCACTGTCTCTCTCTCTCTCTGTGAAATAAATAAATATATAAATAATCTTTATAAAAAGAGTGGGTATTATGAATCTATTAAATGTGGTAATGGAAAAATGTTAGTACTGGCTTTTCTCAATAGGAAGAGTTTGTTGTTAAATTTAGCTTTAACAGACAATAGTTAATTCCAATAAAAATACTTGGTTGTTTATTCTTTCAAAATAAAAATTTAGAATTAGCTCTTCAGGTAAATACCCAAAATCTAAGCACATTTGAATAATATCCTATCACATTAAATAGAGCTGTATGGGCAAAAAAGTTCAGAAAAACAGACTACCTAAGCCAAGTAACAATTCTCTGATGCAAGCAAAACTAATCATATTCATCTTCTGCACTAAGCCACAGGCAGATAATTAAGAAATTCTTTAGTATCACCCTGATTAGCCAAACTACCTCAATATTGATCATTTGGCAGCCTAAGGTAGTGAGAAGAGACAGATTTGAAGAACTTACCTTGAGAGCACAAAAGATGCAGGAATCGCCCATGCACTTGTGAGTTGTAAGCTGCCTAAAGCTACGTCGGAAGATGTCCAAGTGCCATAAAACCTGGCAAAAAACGGGGGAAATACTTCATTACTCTATAAAAAGCCTCCATGTGATCTTAGATTCAAGAATTCAAGCAAAAATAGGTAATGACTACAGAATATATCTTCATTCCCAAGAAAAAGCTCATTCTAGTATATTAAAACAAATGTCAAAAAGGGTGAGTTAGCTAACATGAGGGACAGATAACTATATTCTAAAAAATACATTAACTTGAAAATGAAGGAAGGTTACACAGAGAAAATAAGGTATAACATACAACAAATGTGATCCCGAAGGGTTAATTTATGGGTTAAAAGCTGCAGAATTAGGGTTTATTTTAATGATTTTTACACAAAAAATGTATTTTTTTTTTTGGAACAAACTTTTTTTTTTGAAGTATAGTTGATACACGTTACATTAGTTTCAGGTATATAACACAGGGATTCCACAAGTCTCTATGTTATGCTGTGCTTACCAACACAAGTGTAGCTGCCATCTGTCACATTCATCACTATTACATTACCACTGCCTATATTCCTTATGCTGTGCCTTTTATTCCCATGACTTTTTTTTTAAGGTTTTATTACTCTTTTAAGTAATCTCCACACCCAACCTAGGGCTTGAACTCACAACCCTGAGATCAAGAGTCACATGCTCTACCAACTGAGCCAGCCAAGTGCCCCTCCCCATGACTTATTCATTCCATAACTGGAAGCCTATATCTCCCACTCCCCTTCACCAGTTTGCCCACCCCCCATCTCCCTCCCTGCTCACATCCATCAGTTTTTCTCCATATTTATAGGTCTGATTCTGCTTTTTGTTTATCATTTGTTTTGCTTTTTACATTCCACATATAAGTGAAATCATACGGTATTGAAAACTTATTTAGAAGTTTAAATTGTAGGGGCACCTGGGTGGCTCAGTCGTTAAGTGTCTGCCTTCAGCTCAGGTCATGATCCCAGGGTCCTGGGATCGAGCCCCGCCATCGGGCTCCCTGCTCAGCGTGGAGCCTGCTTCTCCCTCTCCAACTCCCCCTGCTTGTGTTCCCTCTCTCACTGTCTGTCTCTGTCAAATAAATAAATAAAATCTTATAAAAAAACAAAACTGCAGAATTCTTTAAAAAAAAAAAAAAGAAGCTTGAATTGTAGTGTGGAATTTTGTCTTTGTTAGATTTCTCAATTTTTGGACCTTTCTGAGAGATTTGTGACCTTCTTTATGTCAACAGAATAAAAAAATTGTGATATCAACAGTGATAAATCATGTTCATAGTATGTAACCTAGATATGATGTGATGAGAAGGACACTTTATTTTTATGGTCTTCCTCTCAAAAACCCATAACACCAGCCTAATTATGAGAAAAATACCAAACAAATTCCAATAGTGGGACATCCCACAAAATACTTGACTAGTACTACTCCTCAAAATTGTTAAAGATCATCAAAAACAAGGAAATTTTGAGAAACTGTCAGAGCCAGGAAAAGCCTAAGGAGACATGACAAGAAAATATAACTGTGGTATCCTGGATGGGATCCTGGAACAGAAAAAGATATTAGGCAAAAACTGAGGAAATCTGAATACACTATGGACTTTTAGTTAAAAAAGAAATGGTATAATATATAGCATAATGCCTTAGGAAGCTCCCCTTCTAGAAAACATTTAAATGGCATCATATATGAAAAGGCACTGTACTTCCGGAGCTTCTTCTTACTTATGTGTCTTCAAAGTATATATTCCAAAAGTTCTTTGAAATACACTATACTCCCAAATAAGTAACACCTTTTTATAATAAACATAATGGTTTCGATACTTCTGTGGCCAACATAGCATTCATATCAAAAGTTAGAATATTAGTTCATAGAAACAATTATTTTCAACTTGTAACATGATCACAATAGGCACTCCAAAACCATCAATGACTCAGTCTTTAAGTATGGATTTAGAAGTGCGTGTGTGCGTGTGTGTGTGTGTGTGTGTGTGTGTGTAGTATGTGTTCCATATGGCACTGGAAACTAGAACAGAAAGTCATAAATATTATTGTTTCAATACAGATAGAACATACAGGAAAAAAACAGAATTATAAAAACAGGACTGTGGCCAGGAAGGAGGTAAACACACACACACACCCCTATGTCAACACCTTTTTTTTTCCTGCTTCTAAATTACAGAAGTATTATTAGTTTATGCAGTGTCACTCAAAAAACTCACATGCAAAAAAAAAAAAAAAAAAACTCACATGCAGCATCTGGGGAAAAAAACCTAACAAACCCCACCCAAATGCATGAATTTGTGGTAGTAATGAGGGAATATAGTTAAACTCTTTCTCTAGGCTTAACAGCATAGGATTTTTTTTTAATGTTTTCAAATAAAAATTTGAAAACTGAGAGTATAAAACTTTTTTTTAAGTAACCCAATGTGGGGCCTGAACTCACAACCCTGAGACCAAGAATCACACGCTCCACCAACTGAGCCAGCCAGGCACCCCGATTATGAAACTATTACATAAATAAGCTTGGTAAGATTCTTGTATTACAAATGAGGATCCTGAAATATTATTACCTGCATAAGGTCACAAGGCAAGTCTATAGACGCACTAAAAGTAATTCATAGGTCCAGTGCTTTTCAAAAAAAAAAAAAAAGATTTATTTATTTATTTTAGAGAGAGAGAATGAGTGAGAGCAGAGGGGGAGGGGCAGAGGGAGAAGTAAAGAAAGTCCCAAGATGACTCCACACTACGCACAGAGCCCGACTCGGGGCTTGATCTCATGACCCTGAGATCTCAACCTGAGCTGAAACCAAGGGTCAGTTGCTCAACTAACTGAGCCACCCAGGCACCTTTTTTTTTTTTTAAAGATTTATTTACTTATTTTAGAGAGAGTATCCAGTGCTTTTTATACCAAATACATTGTCTTGTCTTTTCTTCTCTCATAGCAACTTCTTTTCTCATTACATCTGAAACAATAACACTAATATTTTACCCAAGCATAATTATCTTGGGTGACAAATTTCATTTACTTTTACTCTGAGGAGCAGAAAAGAGGGGAAAGTAATTACTTGAAAGTTAGGCCAAAGGGGATGAACTTAACATTCTATGGGCATGACAGGGCAAAGAAGGCAGGGAGACAAGAAGTTTTGGGATTCTGAGATCACTAATGTGGTAACCAACACCAAAAGGGAAAATCTAGAGTAGATAATCACACCTTGGGGGAATTACTTTCCACTACCTTTGTTCAAGCATATCTGACCAGACACTAATCATGAACCACTACAGGAGAGCTCAGAGGAAGGAGATGAAGAAATGGACAAAGACTGGACTCCATTCAGTGTATATGCTAAGAGCCTGAATGCTAAGAGCCTTCTAATGAAGACGAGAGTAATATACCTAAAAGTCTTTGACTTGTGGAAAGAACTTTGTTTTCTTTACTAGAGAAAAGAAAGTGGTTGATACAACATTATGGTCTCAAAAGGAAAAAAAGGAAGCAAAAAGAAAGTCAATAAACAAGTATTAAGATCATCTAGCCCATATACTTTCCCCTTCAGGCACAGTTATTATTTCTATTATCATTATTAATCCCTTTTTCCTATAAATGAGGTAATTGAGACTCAAAGAGATAAGTGACTTGTTAAGATCACACAGATAAACTTAAAAATAATCTCAGGCTGCTGACCTCAGAGACCATCAAGGATTATATTTAAACGAGTTATTGGAAACAGCATCAGTAACTAAAAGTCAAAGTTCACCAGAGGGAAAGAAATTGCCCTTACCTGCAGGGCACTGTTGAGGAAGCAGCTGTTTTGTCCTGGCTCATTGCTGAGGCCTTTGCTGGGGGCTATGGAGGTTGAGCTTCGAGGTGCAAACATCCCTTGGACACTACCACGGCCCCCTGAAAAATAGTTTCTTTTCCAAGACATTATTGTTCACATTTAGCTTGAAAACTCAGAAAAGACTTTGTATCTTTTTGGGAGAGAGTTTCTGTCTGCTGAAGTCCTGACTTGTAAAAGAGAATCCAGAATTCAATGAATTTATGTTGAAATACTTTGAGTTTACAACCTTCCAAACATCATCTATGTAGCTCAAGGAACTCAGGTATCTTCTTAGATCCACATGACAGAGCCGTCCCCAACTTGCTCCAAACAATACCCAAAATTTAACATGGCACAGTACTAATACAGAGAAATCCTTAGGTATTCTGCCCTTCTATTTTTCTTGAATTGCCTCCATAAAATAGTGGTGAAGTGGCTGTAGTCCTCAACTCCAACAGAATCCAGGATTATGGTAGGATGTATTCCTTAGACTTGTTGATGACGCTTCTTGTAGACTGAAGATTTTTTCCAACTGGAAGGAGAGGCAGACAGATAAGCAAGAATCCAATGCAACCCTCCTCGCCTTCTCTATTCCTTGTCCCATCATCATCTGAAGTAAAAACTCAAGTTCTAAGCAACTGATACAGAATCCACAAAGGTAAGAAATTTGTTTTAATTACATGGGGTTTTTGTTCTTACTGCTGCTGCTCTTTTTTTAATATGCCCCAAACATCTTCTATCATTCTATCCAGAATTTCAGAAAGTCTCCTCTCTTCTTTTCCTCTGTGACTAGAATAGCCAGCTCTGCCAGAGAGCTTTAACAAAAAGAAAAAAAAAAAAAAAAACCTAAAAGCTTGCGTCACTTAATGACTCTACTGGCTTTGTGCTGTTCTGCCAAGATCAACGTTGCCTCACCTCTCACTGTAAACTTGAAACCTTGGCAAACAATGACCCAAAAAAAACCACAAAAAACCCACAAAACAACAACAACAACAAAAAAACAAAAAATCTCAACAACAAAAAGGAGAAACACTCTAGCCAACGAGGAAAAAAAAAGGTGTAAACAGATTTACTTTCATCGGAAACTTCTCTGAAATCTTCTAGAAGAAAGTTGATCAGGACAAAAACAAAAACCAAATACAAACTTTCCAAAATCAGACTAACAAAAATATTACCAAGTAAATATACACCAAATTAAGAAATGTAACAGTTTGTTAGATATGAATAAAGAAATTTTTAAAGGTGTTTTACACGTTCATGGCTATGAAAGCCTGTTTAAAGGTGGGAAGGCCAAGTTATCAGTCTGGACTCTGTTCCGAGGAAAGATGTCCCATCTTAGAGAAACACTCAAGGCAAGTAAGCCATATGTCCTTAACATCATGTCTAAGAGAACTAAATCTTCTCCTGTTCTGTTCGTTTGTATGTTTTATTTTTGCCAGAGGATCAAAGAGATAATTTGGGTTACAAATAACTTAATCCTCAGATTAAATCTGAGGCACTCACAATCAGAGGCCATTCACTGACCAACATTAGTTTTCAACTAATTAAAATGCCAGTGAGGCAATGGGGAGAAATACCAAAGCAAACACCTTTACTGGAAGGAAATACTTCTACCTCCAGCTTTAAGCTTTCCTATAAGGCTGCCATGTCCACAGGAAAAAATTAAGAATGTTAAGTGTTAAATTTGGTTTCCAACAGCTCCCCAAGCTTCTCCCTTCCTTACTTCCTATCATCATATGAACCACCTAAAAAAGCAAAAATACTAAAGCATCTTAATCATTCTGTAAGAGATCACCTAACACTACCCAGTATATCCAGTGGAAAAACTGAGGCACAGGAACATTAAATAGTTGCACAAGACTGTTCTTTCCCTTCTCTAAATTCCCAGGCTATTTATAATCTACGTGTCACAATTAAAGTATTTGACTATACACTGTAGTGTCATATTATCCTCTATTTGTTTTTATTACTCTCTATTTGTTTTATATGGTATCAGTCATATATCCCAAATGACTGTATGAAATGAAATACTAACTAGTATCAGACAAGTACTAACACTATACTTACATTCTTTATTTATTCTTTACAATAGCCCTATTATGAGGTGTTAATAGTTCCATTTTATAGAACAGTAGAGTGAAACTTAAAGACATTAACTTGCCCAAATCAACTAGTAAGTGGCAGAACTAGAATTTTTTAACTATTATAAATCTGTGACTTAATTAGGTATTTTATTAAACTATTCCAAAAGCTCCTATGTCATAAGGAGGAACTCAATAAATACTCCCTGATGATTAGCATGGCACCAGGAAAGATCCTGTATCTCCCACACAGATTAAAAGACCCTCAACTCTCTATACACACCCTCATACACACCCCACTCGGAGCTACTAAGCAACTTCAACAAGCCATGCAGCATTCCTTCAGCTTAACTGCTGCAAAGGAATGACAGGTACCAAGCCTCCACTTTGCTCACAGCCAAAAGGACTTGGCAGACAGGTGGGGTTTCCAGTATCCACATTAGGAGCTTACTGAAACTCAGCCTGCCCTATGATACACACCCCTGAGTTCAGGGAGCAAAGAGAAAAAAAAGCAGTCACAGAAAAAAAGATTCTCAGGCTCTGAATGGCAGCATTATGTAGGGTAAGGCAATAAGCTCTCACACTTGCTCTAGGTGTGTCAGAAACTAGAGGTGAGAGCCAGAAAGAACAAGGACAAGAGAGGCAGTAACAAATGATCCAAAGAAATACTGATGACAAAATATTTCACTTAAGTTGTAGGTCTAGAACCAAACAACATAATCCTTCTACTGTACCATCTACTAAAGATATATGAGGAAGTCAATTAAGAGTTTTACCCACATCAATCTAACAGCCTATTTTTTTTTAAAGATTTTATTTATTTATTTGAGAGAGAGAGCACATGAGAGGGGGGAGGGTCAGAGGGAGAAGCAGACCCCCTGCTGAGCAAGGAGCCCGATATGGGACTCGATCCCGGGACTCCAGGATCATGTCCTGAGCCGAAGGCAGTCGCTTAACCGTCTGAGCCACCCAGGCGCTCCTAACAGCCTATTTTTAAAAAGAAAAGAACTTTTTAGGCAATATTGAAGTATTTAGAGATAAAAGAGCATAATGTCTACAACTTACTCTGAAATAGTTCAGAAGAAAAAAATATGTATATGGGTGTGGGTATGTGTATATTTGTATATATGGAGAGAAAGGGAAAATGGTAGAGCAAATATAGCAATAATGTTGACAACAGGTAAACGTGCCTGAAGAGGATATGGGAATTCTTTGTACCATTTCTTGTAACTTCACTGTAAGTTTTAAATCATTTTTTTAAGTTGAAAGAGAACCGATATCTGCAAAAAAAAATAATAATTTAAAATTATGTAGAAATTACTTTGTAATGTATGTAGTATTCATGATTCAATGCAAAAATGACTAAAATCATTAAGCTGGTAGATAAGAACCGTGCTAGATGATATTGGCAATCCCAAACTAAATTTAAAAAAAAAGAAGAAAAAAAAAGGAGAAAAAGAGAAAGATAAATATAAAACAGTATACACATGAGGGTAAAATAAAATAGAATAAAGCTTTAATCCTACTTCTATGAAAAGGAGAGTTCAAAATACAGTATAATGTCTAGTTGTTCTAAGAGCAAGTGATGTTGAGTAATTATGATATTATACAGATGGGACCAAGACTAGACTTGCAGTTAGAAGACATGGGTTCAATTTCCACATTTTTACTACTTTGTATAATCCTAACTACTTAAGTGTCCTGAACTTTGTTTTCAGGGCACAATACCTATTTTACACACTGGCTGAGATTTAGTAATAGGCATGCCAAAGTACTAGCAAGTTTTCAAAACAAAGGATGAATAATGAGTTTCACTGAATGAGTAATTGCAATGCCTAAAAGTATAAAAGTAAATTTTGGTTTGGGGACCTCAGGATACTAGAAAGTTGTAAGCCACCAGGAATAAGTCTTCTAATTGTATAAAAAGAACAACAGGCCTCACATAGGACAAGTGATATGTCAGAACAATTTAACTACATGCTTGGAGAAACATTTGAATTTTACAATTATTATTTTTTTACAATTATTTTTTTTTTAAAGATTTTATTTTTTTGACAGAGAGAGACACAGCGAGAGAGGGAACACAAGCAAGGGGAGTGGGAGAGGGAGAAGCAGGCTTCCCGCCAAGCAGGGAGCCCGATGCGGGGCTCAATCCCAGGACCCCGGGATCATGACCTGAGCCGAAGGCAGACGCTTAACGGCTGAGCCACCCAGGCGTCCCTACAATATTTTTAAAATACGAAGTTTAACTTCCTATTTGTAAAAAGGCAAATAGTTGAGCCTATTACAAGGAACAGGGTAACATTTTAGAAGGTCTACAAAGAATGACCATGTCCAGTTGATCAATGATTCAAATGGAAAAACCGTGATGAGTATCTCACTTTCTAATGAAGGAGCAGTAGCCCCATTACAAGTGATTAATGCCAACAATAACACAAATAGGGCGCCTGGGTGGCTCAGTTGGTTAAGCGACTGCCTTCGGCTCAGGTCATGATCCTGGAGTCCCGGGATCGAGTCCCACATCGGGCTCC